ATTCTAAAACTTTCAAAATGGCAATTATCAGCAACCAGTAGAGATCTGCTTTCAAAAAGACATGTTAACAAAATCTTTGCTACTGCTTACTACTACTATTGAAACTTGGAATTAGATATGGCAGTGCGGAATGCTCCCATTCAGATTTCCAACCAGGAATACGCATATTCTTCCAGCATATTTGTTTATTTTGTTTAATTAAAGTTTCCCTCTTCTCTCTTGCATATCCCAAGGCAGCCTACAACATAAATGTGAAAAACAAGTGCAGTTAAAAATATAATAAATTATAGTGATAAAACATTAATGAATTTGAACATTTAAATCCCATGAAATTAACACTATTTTTTAAAAAACACCCACTTAGAACAAAAAGAAAAATCCACCATTAAAATGGATACTCTTCCCCTCCTGCCGTTTCTCACTCTCATCCACCCCGTCAGTCACTATTCACGGCCACTGAGCCATGATAAGTCCTCATTGGATTGCTTCTTACTCCCACTCCAAATATTTCTGCATTTCTAGTGAATAGTGATCTAGTATGGGTTGCTTTGGAATGGTTTGGAAAGGTAGGGCTTGTTTAGATTGTTCCTTCAAGAAACGTAGAATTTGCTCCTGCAGCCCCTGCAGTTTTGATCTAGTCAGTCACATATAGTATTAATATTTGGTGTGTTTGGTTGCAATGTTCCCTCCTCTTCTTGCTCCCTGCCTTCTGCAGTCTCTTTGCAATAGCTGCCAACCAACTGGGAAACAGCCGTTTTCCATTTGCTTGTAGGTGGGCATTAATGCTGACTTTTTATGTACACAAACAGAGGTGGGATACAATGTGCCACATTTCAGACCCATGTTTTTCCTTTTCTACTTTTTTAAAATAGTGCTTAAGTGATGTAGTACAACAGTGGGAAATTATTTTTTAATTTTAAAAAATTAAAAGAAAAATGCCCTTTTTTATTCAAAATAAGGAGGAGGGTGCCATCTGCAGGCACCATAACATCTGCAGGCACCACCAGACCACACCCACCTCTACACACCACCACTGATGCATAGGAAGAACACCACCCCCAACTCCACACTGGAGGCAATCACACAGTAAGAAAACCATGTTTATTTGAATCAATCCTAATTGTTCTAAATAAACAGTAAGCTCCAACCCCACACCAATCTGCAATGGATAAGGGATGGGTTGGAATGCTCTAACAAGAACATTGTGTAGTCAATGTTTTTTAGAGTGATACCAACCATTCCAGCAGAGGGCTACACAGCAGGATAAACTCCTGTGTAGCCTCTGAGTCACCTTAATCCAATTTACTGGTATCTGGAAGAATTTAACATAGTTGGCAGTCTCATCTGACAAGAGGTCCAGCACTTGAATAGAAGAGATATTTTAGCCTGGGACTGAAGTGAGTTGGCAAAGGTACGTGTAGAAGCTTCCAGTGTTCTCATTGCTTCAAACACAGCTGAACCTAAAATAAAAAGTCCACTTCTCAGAACTATAATTCCATTTCCTTCTTGCCAACAACTGAATTTTTGGGGAGGAAGAAATGTTCATAAGGAAAAGTGCTGACAATTTTGTAAGATATGATTATATACAGGAGCATCAGTACATTCACGTTTAGAACAGAAAGCTCTAAACCATTTGTACACTATGTGGACAAATCAAACTGTTCAGAAAATGTGTTGCTTGCATCAGCTATCTCAGACACAGAAATTCCAACAAAATTTAGTGCAGAGCTTCAACAAGTTACATAACAGATGCTATGTAATTCCCAAATTAGTCTAGACTCAAGAAAGTCTTCCACCCTTCCTATCCCATCCTGCCAAATGAAAATGTTGATCCTTATATGAAAGAATTGTGATAAATAGTACTACACTATACAGAAAAGAGATAGAGAGTTAGCAAAGGGAAAGACTACAGAGCAGATAAGTTTTAATCAGAATTTAAATCCACCTCTTAGGCTGCAATTCTGTGCATATTATATGGAAATTAGATGTAGCAAACCTGCATAAAATTTTACTATGTGGCTTCAATCTTCTGCATACATACTTTCCTGGGAGGAAGCTATATTGGACCTAGTTTGGCTTATTTCCAGATTCCAAACAAAGATGCATTAGATTGTACTGTATGACAGAGGTTTATGCGATTTTCCTAGCTTGTTACCATACCCATATAAGAATATTTTAACTTAATGCCTGTAGTTGACAACAGTGGTTGTGAATATGAAAAGGCTTTTCATAAAAAGTCCTCGAAGAAGTGGCACTCGTAATAGTTAATGGTATACTAATTGCACATGCATGCTTCAGATATTTTTCCAGTTCCTATATTTTATTCTACCAAAGAACACTTCACTTTTTCTCCCCAAAACCTCCATGCTCAATGTACAGTATTCTCAGGCTTTCTCAGACACCTGTGCACACAAGCTTACACGAGCATTAAGCTTTCTGTAGTAGAACTGGAAGATACCTGCTGATTCTGAGGCATTCAGAAAAATGCTTTCCATTTTTAGATAATAATTACTATTCTCCTCCCTTCATTTCAGCTCATAATTGTGCACCTGTGACATAACCAGATTTACTACAGGAAATAAAGGTCTGAATTGCATAATGCTTAATGTACTATATGTTATGGTGGAACAGCTTGATTCTTTGTCAAACGCAGTGAACATAAGTATGAATCAGGAACTTTTTTTAAAAAATAAAGAGGTTCATTTCTAGCCCAGTACTCTGCCCCTACTATTCCTGAGGCTTGTCCTTGTTCCCATAGAATGAAGCAGGCAATTTTTAAGATTCTTGAAGTTGTGAAAAGGGACATTGTATTTCAGTCATTGTTTTGTACTCTTGGCCTCCCCAAGGGAGAAGACATTCTGCAGTGACCTTTTATGGGGTCAAGCTTTTTTTTTTCCTCAGAAGAAAAGATGAGGGACTTTTGGTATTTCTGCAATATCCTATTAATATCATACAGGCAGAAGATATGACAACTAGCAGTTCTACCAGCTTGTGCATCTTAAAATACTTTGGGCAATGCAGCAAGAAAAAAAGTGGGTTTTCCCATTGAGAGCAAGCCAAACAGCCTTCTCACTAGCCACCCTGCAAAAGGCTACGTGCAGCGCCCTTCCAGAGGAGACGCGCGTAGTGTCCTCATGACTAACATACAGATCTGTGTTGAGATATTCCTGTTCCAGCAGACATTCAATCCTCTCTAGTTTTGCTTTTAGTATTTTAACTTTTATTGCGGGCTCATGCCATCTTAGTATCTTGACATTTTGATAACCGGCTGATTATTTTAGTTGCAATTGTATTGATTGCTCAGTGATTTTACAGCTGTAAACCACCCTGAAGGGCATTCGTTAGTTGAGCAGGCTATAACATTCTACTTAACATTCTTAAAACAAATAAATAGAGGGGGCTGTTCTTTCCCTCTCACTGGGAGGTTCTGAGGATTGGTCTAAAGCACTGGTTCTTAACCTTGAGTTACTTGGGAGTTTTGGACTGCAACTCCCAGAAGCCTTCACCACCAACTGTGCTGTCTGGGGTTTCTGGGAGTTGCAGTTCAAAAACATCCGAGTAACAAAGGTTAAGAACCAGTGGTCTAAAGCACCACAGTCCCCTATAAAGGACCACTGAGAGGGAGAGCACAGCAGAGCGGATGGGTCTGGGTTGCTCCCTCAGAAGCAAAGCACATCCTGTTCTCTTCCTCCGGACCACTTTAGGACAGTAGAGTATAATGGTTAGCTCACTGCAGGAGTGACTGCCTCATCCTCTCACTCCCTTCATCATCATCATAGGCATCCTTCAGTCTCGAGAGACTATGGTAACATGCTCTGTATCGAGAAGTGTCCTCTCCAGAGCATGAAGCCTGGGTAAAGTAGTATGGAGGATAGGCTGTTACCCAAGCAGCATATCCCTCCTCTCCACGTTGCTGAAATGGTCCAATGGAAAGGCAAGAGCCAATACAACTGGTTCCAGCGACGTCACTCCCTTGCAGGTGAATAAATAAGAGGCTGAGGTGCCTGTTCCTTCAGTAAGCCACCCTTCATACTCCATTGCCCCAGAGAAGGCAATCAAGAGGGCAGAAGCCAGTTTGTGTTCTGCTTCTGATGTGGCAATGTGGGTCCAATCCTCCATCTTGCCAGACGAGGGTGGGGTGAGCAACGAGGAAGAAGAAGGGACGGTTTGTGATGTGTGTGTAAATGTTTGGCTTACAAGTATCCTTGCTCCCCATCTGCACAATGTTAAAAGTCAGTAAAAAGGTGTTACGTGTGGTGGGTGGAGAGGAAATCTCTTCCCTTTACTCTTTTCCCGCCTCAGCTTCATGGCAGATAAAATCATGAAGGACAACGATTTACGGCCACTCCATACCAGTCTTCCGCCTGGTCGGGATAAGCATCTTTACCCAAATACGTGCTTAGCGTCACATGTGTCCTTTATTTAGACCGTTCGTCCAAAGGAAAGTTTAAACCAAGTCCATTCGATGCGAAAGGACAGCAGGGAACCCGGGCATGCCTCTCTCTTGGAAGAGGGCTTGTTTTCGGACAGGGAAGCGAGGAAGCTTAACCCTCACGAAAGGAAAGCTTGCCCGAGTTGGAAAGGATGCTCTCTAAACCTTAAGGTTAAAAAAAAAAAATTTGGGTTGAGATCAGTCTTCCCCCACTTGGTCCACAAGCAGTCTAACGTAAGGCTCGAGACTCTTTATTCTATTTATTGGCAGAAGCGGTTCATGGTTTCTGATCTATATCGGCGGCGGCGCTCACTTTGTGCGTGCTCAGAGGCACGATTTGTTACATGCTCATTAAGGTTCGAGGGTTCTGTGGTGAGAACCGGTCATTTTGACCCCAACCGGTCTCCGCGAAGCTCCCTTCTCTCTCTCCCCCCACCCGCACCACCCCACCACCCCCGGTCGGTTTCCTCTCCCTCTTCCTCAGGGAGCCCCCGCCCTCTCCTTGCCCCCGTGACGGCCGCTCCCCTGGCTTCTGGGCCATTCAGCAACGCTTTCCCGCCGCCGAGCAGGAGGCGCCTTTAAAGCCCGGGCGAAACGGGCGAGCTGGCCTTCCTCGCTCGGGGCTCTTGTGAGGTGCGCGGCCGGAGGGGGGGGGCGAACGAGGGAGACGGAGAGGCTGCTCCTTTCTGGCTGCCTTCAGCCCACCTTCTTCTGCCCTGGCCCGGAGCGCCAGACCAAGGACGCTGATGGCTGCACAAAAAGAGGCGGACCGGCCAGCAGGGAGCCACTTCCTTGGCGCCGGGAAAGGCTAAACACCCGCCCGGAGGACTCCGCTTTGGAAGCCGCTCTCTTGAGACGGCCGGCCCCGATCTCTGCCCTCGGTCGGACTTGGGGCTTCGAGTTGCCAAGCTGCTCGTCCCGCTCTACCTCCTCCTTCCTGCTCTTCCCTGGGGATTTAAGGGCTCCAACCGCGGGACTGATCTCCCTTCTCGGCATCCTAGGTCTTCCGCAGGGAAGGATTGTGATCCGCGGCCAACGGTGAGGGATCCCGAGCAGATCGGCTCCTCTCTGACCCGATCCATGAGAGCTGTAAGTGGTGGCAAGTTTAGGGTTTCCTGGACGCGGGGGTTGAGGTTGGGGAAACAAGGTTGTGGGAATAGGGGTGGGCAAAGGAGGCTGCAGGTGATCCTACACGAAGGAGGCGGTGGGAGAGGAGACGGCAGCTGCCGAATTTAGGACTTTTACCTCGGTTTTACCTGATCGTAAAAGGGCTCTTTAGCATGAAACACGTTTTCCTTTCTGGAGCAGTAGTGTGAAAGAGAGGACGAAGGTTATATTGGTGTCTGTTATGAGAAATCCAGATTGAGAGAAAGAAAAGAGAGAGGGGAAGTGAAGTTTTAGGTTAACTGTACAGTCCTTTGGTCAGCACCCTGCTGTTGCATGTAGGAGACCGGTAGGAGAGGGTGAATGGTAATTTTGTGGTGGAAACGGATGCCCTGGTACCGTGAACACTGATCCACAGGTACGTCTTGGGTGAGGCTTTGTCAATGTCCATGTTACTCATCTCATGTCTGGCGATGATCGCTGTAGTAGACCCTGGTACCAGTCATATTCAAAACAGCTTGATTTCTCTGCAGCGCTTAATGCGGGGATCAGCAGTGTCGTCCCCAGTCTCTTGCCACTGTGCAATCTGATGAGAAATGTGAACAGGTCAGTGCTGTGTAACATTAGGGCTGCCTGGAATGTGACACGAAGAGGGAAGAATGGAAAGTGTTCCATTAACAGAGCCATAGAGATAACACTGTGCTAATCAACTGTCATGTTGGTAGGCTGCAGGGGACTTAGTAACTTAGCTGATGGGGAAGGAAATTGTATAATGTAGCTTTTCTGACATGAATGTGGAGGAAACTGTGGATGCCAGCAGCCATTACCATCCTTGGAGCATTAGTTATTTAACTAGCACATGAGATAATAATTAATTTCCAAGATTATTCTATTTTTATGTGGTTATTATTCTAACCACTTAACTAATATTATTATTATTCTAACCACTTAACTAATGTCAATGTGTTGTGTTTTAAAATAGCATATTTCTGAGATCTGGGTATTTTGGGGATGTGGGTGTGTTGTATTGTGGTTTGATTTCACATGTCATTTTATGTCAGTGTTGGGGGTAAGTGTCAGGGGTCTTAGAAAGTGTAAGAATAGTGTGTACAGTTGTGTTTCTTTCTGTTATGTGAGGTGCAAAAGTAAAGACTAGCTGCAACAATGAATAGCTAATTTTTAATTATTTATTTATTCATTCATTCATGTTGTGCTCTGCCTTTCAGTCTGGCCAAAACAAGGCAGCTTCCAGTTAAAATGATGCAGAAAGGAGTCCCTCCAATACATAAAGCTTGCCAGTCATAACTCAATAAGCAGTGTGTTACATTTTTCATATTTTGTCTGCCAGATGCTCTCTCTGTGTATGTGTGTGCATATACACATACACTGTATATGTTGGCTGTCATTCATGTCAGTTAACAGTAACAGAGTCACTAGCAGTGTTGACTGAAATATTTATCTTTGTAGTTGTGTGTGAGATGATTTGAGTAAAAGGAGGCCAGAACAAGTTTGACAACTGCATTTGACCACTCTGGATAGAATTTTTCCTCTCCCCAACTCAAAAAATGAGTTAAATGTCTTGCACGCATGTGGCCAAGGTATGATATGTGCTATGTATGCAAGCTGATCTACTTGTGGAGGAGTATTCCTTGTTAGTTTTCACAGGAGATAAGGAGGAGAATTTCACTGAGTGCTGTTTAGACATTTAGAAATTAAATCCACAGGACCTCTTTTTATATTTTACTCTTCCCCCCCCCCCAAAGCATTTGATAACTTCAGTATCGGTGATCTCTACAGTGTTTCATTACATTGCTCCTTTCAGTTACTGAAAAAATAGTTTTGCAGCTGGTGATGTTGAATCATTTCTGTATAGCTCAGTGGTTTAAGACATCTGGTTGCAGAGTCAGAGGTTAGGAGTTAAATTCCCCACTGTGTCTCCTTGACTGGATGATCCATAGGGTCCCTTCCAGCTCTGTAGTTCTAAGATAAGATATAAACCCAGCACAGTATTCCATAGCCCAGAAGTGAGTTCTTAAATAATATGGCTGTTTTAAGAAACCTTATGTGAAAACATGGCTAATGGTTTTTTTTCTTCTTTAGAATCATTCTTAAACCTGGAGAGAGGGGTGCTAAACCATTTGTGGCAACATAGTACGTCTTTGCTTATAATAATAACAAAGACTGTAAAACAAATATAATTCTAGAATAGTATCAATAGTTAAGTTTCAATACATTTGCAAGCTTATACCTACAATTTCTCCTCATTCTTAGCAAGAAAGTCTCAAGCATTATGCTTTTTCCAGTTTGGTTGTCTCTTGTTGCCAGTGAATTTGTTTCTGAAATTTACATTGACTGTGAAAGTGTAAACACTGATTCTCAGAAATGAAGTAATCTTTTGCTGCCAATTTATATTTCTGTAACACTAACATCTGATGGATCCAACTGGAATAACCACTTGCTTATATTGTTCCAATGGCTATTTCTACTTGGGGAAAAAAGGAATTGTGTGCAGGGAGGGAGTTGTTATTTTCGCCAGATGAGGCAGATTCCAAAACCACTAGCTAGACAGTATCTTTATTAGGACCCATCAAGTGCACATAAAATTGTGGACACCATTTCTAGAGTTTGAGATGTTTTCATTAGGCAGGATGTTACAAAGAGATGTGGAGGGAGTGAGAACAGAGCAGAGTGTCGGGGAAGCTGACTTGAAGTTTAGTTCACAAAGTCTGTCTGCATGGTCAGAGTTTAAGCAGATTTACGTGAATTAGGCTATCTTAAATATCAGGAAGCAAAACAAGTGCCCAAGATTCTTTTTACTCTTTGCTGAGAGCTCTGTCTCTCTACACTTCAAGTGTTCTCATCCAGGGGAATAACTAGTCTGTGTATTTTAATGGCTCTCAAATCACTTATTGTATCCTAACATCTCTACCCTACCACTCTTTAAATACAGCTACTCTCTGTGCTTTTCCCAAGAGACTTAAAATGTTCTTTACATCTAGATATTGCATACATTTTGCAAACTAGGGAAATGATGCATGGATTTGAATGAATACATCAAGATTTGCTTCTTGTTTGGCATTTTTAATTTGTTCATTAAATTTTCCAATTCTCCTTATTTTTGAGGGGGGAAAGCACATATCAAAACAGAATGAACAATAACATCAGAACATGACAGCATAAACATTAGAAGGCACGGAAGATGTTTGATAAGAAAACTGACTAGGCAGCAAGATGCTTGTAATGAGGTCTCTTGAAGTCTATCCCTGACAGAATTTCAGAGATAATTTCTGAACTCAGAATCAGAAAACCATCGTCCTTTAATTTCTCAGATGGGTAGGTTTTGCTGTGTAAATACTAGCGTATTGGATATTAATATCCAAACTTCAACGTGTTGAGATTTCAGCTTCTACATATTTTTATAGTGGTGATTTGAAGGGCCAGATTAGGTCAAAAGTTTTAGATGTGGAGAATAAACATGACTGAGATGTGTTTAGTGGCAAAAGGAAAAAGAGATGATGGCAAAGAGATTTAGACACATGTTCCAAGTCTACAGTCTGACTACAGAAAGCTTGGTTGCAGACATTTTTTTCTGCCTGTAAATTTTTCCTGCACTTTTAAGGATTACGCATGGAAGCCCAGACTCTGATGATTCTAGAGAAGTTTCATGATTTAATGGCATTCTAAATAGTAAGTTCAGTCAAACTAATACTAATAGGTACCTCCCATATTTAATTCTAAGTTTTCAAAATGGGGAAATACACACATGTCATTAAGTATTATCTTGTGGTTGCTTTGAACCTAGCACATACTGCACACCATTTTCAACTGGTATTACTTTCATCCATTTGCTTTCCAATAATCATACCCAAGTGGAATCAGCTCCAGACACTTTTGACGCCTGAGAAAGAAAACACAAATGACATCCCCTACACGATTCTCTTTGCAGGTCCCATTGAAGTGAATGGGAGTTGTTTGACAGCCTAGTGGTGTTTTCCCCAAGGTTGGGGACCACTGCCCTACACGATTCTCTTTGTAGGTCCCATTGAAGTGAATGGGAGTTGTGTGACAGCCTAATGGTGTTTTTGGGTAGCTCACTTCAATTAATTGGGAACATCTATAGAAGAACATCCCCTAGTATGTCTATTCTCTCTCATTGTGTCCTATCTGTCTGCCCCTCACTCTGGCAAACGAAGTGGCACCACAAAGTTGCAACACCAAGCTACTTATTACCTTAAATGTATTTTCATCTGTGTATTCTTAAACCTTGGGTCTCTCACTTTCAATTTAGACCATGTGGTCTGAGGACAGAGTATTTAATCCTTTTTTCACATGCTATGTTTCCATAGAACCATAGAATAGTGAAGTTGGAAGGGGCCTATAAGGCCATGGAGTCCAACCCCCTGCTCAATGCAGGAATACAGATCAAAGGATATCTGCCAGGTGGTTGTCTCAGTTTCTCATGAACACCTGCAGTTTTGGAGCACTCATCACCTATATCTGCCAGGTGGTTGTCTCAATTTCTCATGAACACCTGCAGTGTTGGAGCACTCATCACCTCTGCCATACTGTTCTAACAGTTAGGAAGTTTTTCCTGATATTCAGTTGAAATCTGGCTTCCTGTAACTTGAGCCCATCGTTGTGTGTCCTCCACTCTGAGATGATCAAGAACAGATCCTGTCCCTCCTCTGTATGACAGCCTTTCAAGTATTTGAAAAGTGCTATCATATTTCCCCTCAGTCCTCTTTCCTCAAGGAAAAACATGCCAAGTTCTTTCACTTTCCTCATAGAGCTTGTTCCAGTCTTCTTTCAGTCTTTCCTCATAGAGCTTGTTCCAGTTAGTGTAACATCCTCCCTCAGCTTCTCTTTGTTCTATGAAGAAACCTGTTACTGGTATTAAAAATTAAATCTCGCTTCCATGCACCTTAGTTTTAGAATTGGATCATGGGTCCAATCTGGATCATCCTACCACAGCTTTCCACCCACAA